GATATTAATCTGCTGGGCCGATCGATGAGGACCAGCACTGCGGTTCTCTCAGAAAATCACAGTTTCGTTTACAATGGAGAGAAAGGGAGGAAGGGGGAGATGTGGGAGGAGAGAGAAGATGCGGCCAAGGCAATCATTTGGCACCAGGCCAAAGATGTTTATGTTAATTGTGGAGTAGCCCTCTGCAGTAAAAACGCGTCCACTGTCTCTGCTCATTATGAAACGGCATCCAATGGAAGCCTCATAAATGGTTCTTTAGTGGAGGGATTTTGGAAGGAGTTGAAAACGTGTGCAGTTTGAAAAGTGCAAGGACTGGGACATAGCTGATAAAGTGGCACATTTGACAACGGGGCATTGTCTACTTTTATATTTGGTGTCATACAAAGTTGGATGAACACATATTTTGTACATGCGCATTAGATTCAGATTCAGATTCATTTTATTAGCCATGTGCAGTATAAAAACTACATTGGAATACATTTGCAGAGAAAGGTACTCTGTGTGCACCGACAGAATAAAGAGCACGATACAATGTAATATAAAATACACTTACACTGAAAATAAAAGAATAAAAAAAAACAGCTGACACTGTGGCACCGATCAACAAAACGATACAAGGGGTAAAAGCAGGAATTAAAGTGCTCTGTTTAGGCACCTAACAGCTTGTGGAAAGAAGCTGTTAGCATAGCGAGATGTCTTGCATCTCAGCGACCGATATCTTCTGCCAGAGGGAAGAAGCTGGAACATTGCTTTCCCAGGGTGGCCAGAAGAGTCATTGATGATTTTAAGAGCTCTGTTTAAAAGTCTGGATTGATAAAGAGCCTCCAGAACAGGAAGCTCACAGCCCACGGTCCTCTTTGCAGAGCGGAGCACCTTGTTTAAAGCTCTCTTTTCTTTATCTGTGATGTTTCCAAACCACACAGACACAGAACCAACAAGTAAACTCTCAGTGGTGCAGCGATAAATTAGTTTTCACAATGTACAATGCTGTATTTTGTCAACATACTGCAACATGTTTTCAAAGCGCTGCACAAGTAAAAGTAACCCATTAATACCAAAATAGTAATTTCCATCACTGTAAATATTGTACCAAAGGGTATATAGCAGGGGTGGCCAACCCGCGGCTCGTGAGCCGCATGCGGCTCTTTGGCTGGTTCCGTGCGGCTCTTGGGCTTTCACATGACAAGCGTCAAAAACGCCTCGGTGGTGGCGCTGCCATTCATTCTCTATGTAGTTCTGACCCATAGTAAAGGCCGACTTCACTCCACTAGCCGGGCCGCCAAAACAATCTGACGTCGGCGAACGTCAATTCTGATTGGTCAATCACTCTGCAGCTGCTGCCTCAGCTGTTGCAAATATCATAACAAACAACACGTTGCCACGACCCATGGCGTCCGTACGGAAAACAGTTCCTTGGTCGCTGGATGAGGGCAACACCTTCCTCAGTTTGAGGAGAGGACACCAGTGTGAGCTCGATGGTTCCACCAGAAACCAGAAGATGTTTGTGGAGCTAGCACTAAGGACGGAGCAGAATGATTCCCACGAACATCACAATGCAGAGAAAAATTAAAAAGCTTAAAAGTGACAACCGTGAAATGAAAGATCACAGCAGCAGAAGTAGAGGCAGAACCGAAAAGTCTGGAGGTGGTTTGACCAAATGGATTAAATTTACGGACATCGGCTAACACCGGCTAACATGCTAAAACCAGCTAACACCAGCTACACCAGGAGATAAGCCTCAACTCTGCCTGGTGAGTGTCTGTCTTCAATCAAATGCAAAAGTATCTGGTCTTATACTGAACATGTGTCTGTGGTTCTAAATCAGCTAAAGTGGTGTTGGTGTTATGTGTCACATCTATATCTTTTATTAAACGCAGTCATTGTTCGATAAAGACAGTTGTGTTTCTGCTGAACACTGGGTTGAAACTCGATTTTTTTTCTTGGTTAGAGATTGAAAGCATTCATTTCGGAATCATAATTGATGTTCGCTGACGTGAAATTGTTCTGGTATCGACTCGTCCGGTTAGAACCAGGGCCAAACCATTAATAAAAAGTACCGGGGAGCGGTTGAAGCGAGCGGTAGAAGCGCCCGCAAACCGGGGAGAGTTCAGTCCAGCCCTTTAGTACTGTACGAGTCAATTTCTGTCATTATCATGTTGATGACATTACAATAAATCTGTCTGAGCAGAGCACACCTCTCTCTGCTCAGACAGATTGCATGTGTGTGCGTGTGTCTGCTCGAGTGCGTACGTGCGCGTGTGCGTGCGTGTGTAAGGGTTGGGGTGATGTTTATGTAGTGCACATTTGTATGATGTGGCTCTTTGCTGTAATACAGTAAAAAAATTGGCTCTTAGTCTCTGACTGGTTGGCCACCCCTTTCAGTTGAGAGCTGACAACTAGCTAACCAAGTGTATACCCCACAGCTCTGAGTTTGAGTGGATATTGATAAAAAGGTTGCATCACCTCAAACTCTTTAAAAACAATGTATACTTTGCCCAAAGACAAAAAAATGTTTTGGACCAAAGCAATACGGTCTGCTATCTTCACACAATTATCACTTTCACTTGTTTTAATCGTGGTGCCACTTATGATGATTTCTTCAAATGGCAAGGTTTGGTTCCAGTACCGGTAGGTTCCCTCAGCAAATTCTGGCCCATAAAGCTCCTTTCTGATATGTTGCACAAAATGGACACCACTTTTTTAAAGAGGGAAAAGGAAATCCGTGACATAAGCATGAAACAAAGGGAGGGCTGGCCAAAAGGTGACAAATTCTGGCCCATAGCTCCTGGAAATGTTGCACAAAAGACACCTGAGCCATAACGTTAATAAAGTTGCCAAAATGAAAATGGGCAATAACATAAAGTTGATAGATGGCAGGATGAAGCTGACGATGAAGACACACCGGCCCTGTGTACAGCAAAAACTGTCGCAACTCTGTGGCTTTCCACCTCAGTCTGTCTACAAGACTCCGGGGCTTGCGTGCAAAATCCATGGGAATAAAAGGTCTTAAACCAATTAAATCCTGTGAAATCCGCTCCATTTGATTGTATGACATGCGACAGGAGAAAGGGCCAGAAAACCACAGATTCAAAAGTCTGCGCATTACTCCAAGACAGACAAGGTGCATATAATCGTGTGGAAACCCTGATACCATTCCAATGCCTATGAACCTTAAAGGTGAGCTGGTGACATGGTGGTTCTCATCACACATCTCTTCAAAGGCTACGTCAGAGCGACGTCTACAGTTCACCTCAGGAAATGTCATCCTGTGTTTGACATAAACCCCCTTCTGCTCACACTTATCACACCCCGAGTAGCCTGTGTGGCTTTTTATTCCTTTGATAAAAGCCCTGGCTGGAGCATCACATATTACAGAGCCCAGTTTGATGATCCACTGCTTGCCACACATGGCAAATCCTCTGCTCAGTTGTTGCAACTCGGTTATGATATCTTCTAGGTATGCGGTGAGACAATTGGGTTTTGAATTCCCACAAAAAAGTGCAATGACCACAGGTTTCTTTGTCACACCATCTAAAAGGCCAAGGATGGGCCAAAACTGCGTGGACGAGCTTCGAAACAGGGGTAAGCCATCAATATTAATTTTTAAACTGAACACATGGTTGTCTGGGAAACAGGAGGCCATTCTTTCTAAGCTTTTCCCAAAGGCTTGTAATATGCCAAAATAATAGTAGGAGCCACCTGCAAGCTCTTTAATGTTGTATATGGTGGCTGTTTTCAGCAGAGTTCTTGCATCAAGGGGCAATGAAGGATGATGACATCGAAGGATGCTAAGGAGGGCACTCAAAGCTACTAGGCTAATCTTGAATTGCACAGCCCAATCGCACAAAGCCTCACATAAGGGTATGTTACTACCCATTTCACCCCCATTGGACTCGCTGTCCTCCTGTGACTCGCTGCCCTGCTGGGAGTCACTGTCCCACTCAAACTCAATTTCATTGCAATTATTGTTCTTCTCTGGAACATTAACAAATTGATCTTCATTGTCAAAAGAAGCATAGAAAGAGCCTACTTTTTTGACGGCCCTCTTTCGTATTGTGTGCCTGTCCATGTGTATCCGTACCTCAAGTTGTAAATCTAAGAACAGAAGAAATAGAAGTTAGTATTCTTAACTGTTTGAATTACACAGAGGAATTGGCAATAAACTGCCAATTAAACGGTTTATACAAATGTAACCAAACTTTTTTCGTTTTTGATTCAGGAGTCAAGACGATTGTGAAAATGACTTGATTTATTGTAAAGAAGATCTTTTATTTATATAAAAAGTCTAAACCAAGCAATTTTCTCCAGTTCGGCTTTATAAAAGCCGAACTGGAGAAATCAGGCTAGAAATTAGATATTAAAAAATCCCTCTGAAAAAACCTTCAAAATATTGTTAAGTCCAAGACTGGAAAGTTTGGAGTCTGTAGGACCCGAGTGAGGCTTTATCCCCTTTATCAGAGAAAACGACCTCTCGCTCCGCTGTTTCCATGGTAACGATAAACTATTGATCTGAAACTATAGCTTCAGGTAAACCAGCTAAAAAAGTGAAATAACTCCTGCCCAAATGAACAATTTGTTTGTGACACCATAGGCTATAAGTGGGGTAATCTTCAATTATCAGAAATGGATGACTTCGCAGAAAATAAACACCCCGGTAAAGTGTTGTATTTTTGGAACCCACTCGTTAGTAAAAAATATATTGAGCAGAATGTTTAAATAAACTATTGTAAAACCACTTAACATAAAATGACTGGCATAGTAAGAGAACTATGCCCGACTTGGGCCGTTAGGCTATTCCAAGATAGATGGTAATGTAAAAGTGGCTTTAAACGTGCACCTATGCCAATACAACTCTTTAGTGGATGACTATAAAACAGTTTATAGTACAACTATAAACTTTAAAGTAAATATACAGTAGAGTTGGTGGAGTCACCTACCTACAGTTGCAGAGACCGCTGAAGAGATGGAGATAAATCGCGCCTTCTGTCTTCAGGGAGGAGATGACAATCGGCGCACACAAGATAAAACGGAACTGCGGGGACGGTCGCCGTTTTGACCGCGAATATCAATCGGCGGCTGTTGGTCAGCAAGTAGTTGAGCCGATGACCGATGGATATAACCGCGAATTTGTCATGGGTAACGTCAGTAGGAGAAGAATCTGCGTAACTTAGAAAATATGTGTTTTAAAATTTAACGCACTAATTTAACACTGCCTACACTCTAAGAAATGATGTGTTAATTATTAACACATGTTATGTGTTACTACTGTTTTAACACATGTTGTGTTAAAATATTTGAAAATTGTGTAAAAAATGCGAATCATAACCGTCACAAGAGCTACACATCACTGTGTTGACCTAACAGCCAATCAGGTTCAGAGCAGCGGCAAAGTCCGCCTCCATTTACACTCATCTGTCTTTTGAAAACCGGACCGGAGCGAGGCTGCCCCATGGATCTGGGCTGCCCGCGTCAACAAAATAAGGTAACTATTATAATATAAATAAGTATTAATTCTCATTACAGTGTTGTCTGCTTTGCTATATGAGCCGTGCAGTGATTAACACGATAAAAGAGGTTTGTGGGAATCACTTGTTCGTTTTTATGTTAGCTTTCTATTGTGGCTAAGGAGCGAGCTTGTTAACGGTCTGTGCTAAACGTAACGTTACTACATTTGATATTAATTGGTGGGCTTGTTTAAATGGATCATACAAGATGCCAGCGTGACTATTCTTTGTTCCTTGTGGGCTGAAACTGGCATTAAAGTGGCGCAATGCGTCGGCTATCTGGCGCTCATTGGGCTACTAGCCACGCTAGCCTTGACATCGCTCTCGTCTAACTTGTTAGTTAACCCTAACCAGACGAAGTGAGTAGCTGTGGTTAACACTTAACGATGTAATCGATCAAGATATGTGGGGATAACTGATCTGACAGATCATTTATCAATAATTGCGCGAAGTTGACCCCCGCTTTCGTAGCTCTGTTTTTCCAGGTTAGCCACTCGGATGTGGTAGTGCTAACCCAAAGCATCCAATAGATTCATGGTGCGGGCACACAGTTTAGAAATGCTCATAAGAGGACCGTAAATGTGAAATGGCCAATGCTGGCTTTATATGTGATATTTGAGGTGAGTGCGGTGTTCACCCTGTCATGGAAGCAGGAGGCTAGCGTTGAGTTTGAGGGCTGCTGCGGAAGCACGAGTAAACTGAGCCGTTTTATTGCATACAAGATATACTTATGGTAATTAATTCTTGCTCGCGTAGTTGATTATTGCTTACATTTTCCACTAGTCTTGTAAATTTTAAGAGCCTTTTTAAAATATTTTAGATAACCCGTGTTTATGAATTTCATGATCTGTAATTTAAATAGCTATAATACATACATTATAATTTAGCATTTGTTTAAAGATGCTTAATTTGGCGGTGTGTGCAGTTTGACAGGTAATAATATATACATATTTTTTTTATTTTGTTCTTTTTTTCCCTGTCAGATGGAGGAGAATCCCAGATCTCTTGTGACTATTGTGCTGGATGACAAAGAGATTGCCAAAAGAGTTTACCATCTCAACACAATTAAAGAACTGATTGATAAAAGCACAAGCTTTTTAACAGACAAAGCCGACTTTCATTCTGTTCAAATATACAGTGAAGATTTTAAGGAATTTATTGATGCGGATGTCAATGTACTTGTCCAGAACCTTGACAAATACAGAATTTCATTTAAATCATACACTTCGGAATATCAGGTTTGTAATGTTCAACTATTGGTAATATTTTTTATTTCTTATTGTAACCTCAACTTTTATCTGTTTACTGTTTTTCCTTCCTAAGAACCAGCCCTCGGGTTCAACTTCAATTGGAGCCATTGCTTCATCTACAGTTGGACTGTCAGAGGTATGTCATTTGTTTACATGTTTTACATTATATTGTAGTGAATGATGAATCCTGAGTAATTTTAATAGTGTTTCAAAGTACATTCTTTTCACAACTTAAAATGTGAAGTAATATATATTATGGACTTATGGTAAAGTGACTAGTGCCAATTATTTATGCCTTTATTCTAACTTGCATTATTTTGCTTGTAAAAACCACAAATGCAATCTTTGTCCTGACTCTGGACTTGGTCCTGATATCTTTCTGTAATTATGTTGCAAAGGTAAATTCCTATTTCGAGATCTCCTTGTCCATTTTCCATTGTCGATTCTCCTCCATCTGACTTTAAAAAAGAAGAAAAAAATGTTTTGCCTTCTTTTTATGTATTAGTTTCACATAATTACATTTTTCATGATTTTCAAATGTTTCAGCATTCACCTGTATTCATGGATTTCATTGTTTTTTGCAGAATGAACCACAGCCAGGCAATGATAGTTTGAGAAAACTGTTGAAGGAAAAAGCCCCAAATCTCCTCTTGGAGTTCGAATCATCAGGCAGTCTTTCCATCACGTCACGAAAACTGCTTGTTAAAGTATCTGTGAGCCATCTCGTGGAACAGAAGGGATTGTAAGTATTTCAAAATACTCGTATCTACACCTGTACACACACTGCAGTCCAAAAGTCTGACTGATGGCTTTCATTTCAACCAAGCAGGGGCACACCAGACCCCCTCCAATTCTCATGTAAGAAGAAAGTCTTGAGGAAATGGGTGGAGTCCGGTGTGGCTCTGCTTGGTTGGAATGAACCTGTAACTAGGCCTATCACGATAACAATTTTGATGGACAATAAATTGGTTCACAAACATAACCAATACATGATGCCTTTGATTCTAATACAAAAACCAAATAAGCAATTTCTACATTTGTCAATTTCACTAAGTCATGCATTATGAAAGTTAACAGAATTAAGTCATTTGACCTTGAACTGTTGACTTTTTGCATTTGTTTCTTAAAAAGAAACTCTTTTACGCCATGATTATTATAATGCAATTTACATCATTGAATATGTCAGACCTTTTGTTAATGCAGAGTTTTAAGATAAGATTACAGTTATGGTATCTATATTAAAATGTATCATACAGTTAATCATACTTTTGTCTGTTATTTAGCTATCCCTCAAAGGATGACAAAATACTTCTGGCTAGAAGTATAGTAACAGTCTTTCCCTCGCTAAAGATAAACTACCAGGAAAAAAATGAAGGATTTGTGAGTATATTTACACACGTGTGTGTGTGTGTGTGTATAATATATACACATGTATAACTGTTCTTTTTTTTTTATTGTCTAGGAGCATTTCTTTGACCCAGTTTCCCATTGTGGGTTTATTGAAATGAGGCTGAGGAACCTCCGCAGAAGTCTTCACGAAGATCAGCGGCGATACCGGAAAAGAGTTCGTTGTAGTGTACCCGATCCTGATGTCATAGTTACCCTTCACATGGCAGAGCAGGAGGCAGAGGCTACACTGGAGTGGACATCTGCTATTAAAAGGATGAAGCCCATCCCTGAGAACATTGCAACAATCAAAATGGGCATGGATAAAACATTCACAAGTCGGAGGCTTTGGATTTCCACAGAGTCTCCCACAATGCAGGAAATTGTCGCTCACTATCCACGCTTTATTGACCTACTGTGCTTGGTAAACATTACATCTTCTTAACCAATAATTGTGTTCTCTAAATGTATCATTGGACATGGTAACAAGAGAATTTGAAATGGAGATGGAAACTGCTCTGAAAAAGTTTAGATTTGAAAGTGTCTGTCAATTCTTACAATTTGTCTCTATGAAAACTTAATATAGCAAGGTTGGCGTGTCAGTATGTATCTATTATTGAAACTGTGAAGTTTTTATTTGGAAATGAAAAGCTGCAAAGACTTTATAAAGACTCCACAAAAAGTGAGGATGGAAAGATGCAGGATTACTGTGATGGTCTACATTTTGCTCAGCATCCATTGTACATGCAATACCCTAATGCTTTGCAAATTCAGCTATATTTTGATGATGTCGAAACGACCAATCCTTTGGGGTCAAAGACAAAAATTCACAAAATGGGGGCTGTTTATTTCTGTTTGAGGAATCTTCCTGCAGAAATGAATTCCTCTTTATCAAATATTCACCTGTGTCTTCTCTTTAATTCTATTGACCGAGAGACTTATGGTTTTGCCAAAATATTAGAACCTCTTTTGGAAGATTTACAAATACTTGAAAAGGATGGAATTCAGGTTGAAATTGACAGCCAGAATGTTGATCTCCGTGGAACAATTTGCCTTTTGACTGCAGATAATCTTGCTTGTCATTCACTAGGAGGATTTTTGGAGAGTTTCTCAGCCAACAAGTTTTGCCATTTTTGCTTAACTTGCAAGCAAAGTGCCCAACATGTCTTTGATGATGATCACCAAGAAACCCGTGACAAGATAAACTATAAACACCATGTCAGCCTGAAGAACCCTTCTCTGACGGGTATAAAAGAGGATTCTTGTTTAAATTCACTTGAGTACTTTCATATCACTGAAAACGTATGTCCTGATGTAATGCATGATATTTTAGAAGGTGTGGGTCCGTTAGAAGTAAAGCTGATGTTACATAATTTCATTTATGAAGAGAGACTATTTACATTAGAGCATCTTAACGACAAGATAGTTAGCTTTGATTATGGCTATTCTAACACTAAAAACAAACCAAGTGTCATCCTTAATCTGAGGACATCAGATAATCCCATAAAACAAACAGCCAGTCAAATGTGGTGCCTCTTGCTTTTTCTGCCCTTTTTGATAGGAGAGCATGTAAGTGAAGATAATCAACATTGGAAATTGTTTATCCTCTTAAGAGAAATATGCAACATAGTTTTTGCACCTGTAGTGACCCCTGGACTTGCAGTGTTTTTAAAGCAGTTGGTTATAGATCACCACCATCTTTTCAAAAGTCTTTACCCAGACAGGCAGCTCACACCAAAGCACCACTTCATGACTCATTATTGGCAAATGATTATTAAATTTGGCCCACTTGTAAGGTTTTGGTGCATGCGTTCCGAAAGCAAGCATGGGCCCCTTAAAAAGCATGCCCATGTTGTATGCAATTTTAAAAATATTTCAAAAACATTAGCTCATAAAACTCAACTGCAGAGTATGTTTAATTGGAAGTTTAGTGACCCAATTACAAAGAAAATCCAAGTCCCAAACAGCTATGCAATCACAATTGCATCTTTAGAAAAAAATGAATTGTTCCTTGATCAGTGGAAAGCTATTGACTGTGATGTTAGTCCTAGTCCATGTAGTACAATTCATGTTGCTCTGTCTGATCACAGAGGAGAACCGCTCTTTGGAATCATGTGTACAATTTCACCAATGTGTGAAATGGAAGAAGTATTTGTTTTTATAAGAATCTTAACGGTAACTTATTTTGACGATCATTTATATTCGTATATGGTGGAATGAACTCATGAATATGAATTGATTTCTCTTAAGAAACTAGGGGACATCAGACCACTGGACTTATTAACATTTTCAGATGAAAAAATATATCTAAATCCAAGATACAAAATACTTGTATAAACGTGTTCATGCTTGTTTCGTATTGGTTTTTTGTAGCAAAACAAGAGTTTGTCATGTATCTTGAGATTAATTCCAGACATTTAGTTCATGATTATTATTTTTTGACTATTTGTATGAATTGTTTAACACACGTGAAAAACCTCACTTCAGTTCAATGTCTTTTAGAATTCTGTATAATAAATATATTTGAATACATTTTTTAAAAGATCTTTTTTCTGGAATAAAACACAACGTGTTAATTTTTACACATCTTTGTGCTGATTTATTTTAACACATCTGTGTGTTTAGTTAGGGACAACACAACATGTGTTTATTTCAACACAGCTACCGTGTTGGTGTATTTAACACATTTGTTGTGTTAATTGAACCAACACAGTGGTTGTGTTGAAATCAACACATGTTGTGTTGTCCCTAACTAAACACACAGATGTGTTAATGAATAACACAACATGTGTTATTTTTAACACATCTGTTTTAAGAGTGTAGTCTGTGTAACTGATCATTTAACCTGTGTTGTGTTAAAAAATATTTTTACATTTATTTTGTATAAATAGTAAAGAATGAAATTACACATGCTGTGCACCACCGCTCACCGCTGCCGTACACGCGTCCACTGTATTGCATCTTTACAGCAGGTGTTTGACGTCAATATGCGGCGGATTTTCATAGAATAAGGAGCGTTTTGTTGCTTGTGACTCTTCACATTGCATTGCATTGCATTGAAGTACAATTGGACCAGTTGTGTTTCTGTAAGATGTGCACTGCGCGCCACAGGGATGTCACGTCATGTGAGTGAGTAGGCCTATAGTCTATGATGCCACAATCGGGCCAATTAAAAAAATAGCAATTGGACCTATTACTGATTGCCAGTGTTGGCCCATTCTCTGTTTTATTGGAGTTGGCCTGAGGCACATCAGTTTAAGTCGGGCCATCAACTGCAATACTAAGGTGAGCCGCGTTTGAGGCCATCGTCGGTAGGGGGCAATAAAACCTCACTCGGGCCGATCAATAAACACTGGGATTGGCGCTACTATTGCAAGTCTGCCTCGGCCCATTCAAAAATAACAATGTTTCCGCCGAGTCGGAGCTCAGCCGACACTGACGTGGCTAAGCCAGAGTTGGCCCGAGTGTCCTTGCTACCTGGGACTGCATCAACAACACTCTCTGCGATCTGCTGTGGTGAACTGAGATTTGTGATTGGACTGTGCTTTTTTCTGAGAACTGAGAACCAATCTGCTAGTTGGTTCTCAAAGATTTAGAAGTGCCTGATTGTTTTGCAAGTAAACTGTTGGATGAATACCTTGATCATTCCAAAGTAGGTTATCAGTTTAATGGTATTAAAAAGTATATCCATCTGTTCTGCCCCCTTGTGGGTATTCCTGTGTTTTGAGTTATTGTGTTTGTCCATGCAGAGCTACCGTAGTTCAGTTTGCTGCTAACTATCTTGACAGCTAATCCAACTCGACAGTGTTTGTCTCGTAACATTTTCTTTTGGCTCTTAAAAAATATCTGTCTGTAAGTATGTGTATAAATACAGTCCTAGCTTCAGTTAGTCTCCAAATGTAGTCATTGTAGCATGATTTTATCTGATTATGTGTTAAAATATATTCAGCGCTAATAGCGGAGCATCCCTATGGCATTTCCCATACAAATTAGCATCGTGCTAACCTTCGTTTAGCGATCTTTTTGACTTTCATGGTTTAGCCACTTGATTTTACATTTACATTGTTTGTATGCCACAATAAGACTGTAATATGCCTATTTTGTTTTTCTGTATGTTACAGTTTTACAGTCAATCAGTAAAAACACACCAACTACAGCAAGATGCTTCTGGTCCTTTATTGAAGACTGTTCGCTATCTGTAAAGCTAGTTCCCTTACACTAGTGTTAGTATTAGATAGCAATATGGCCTACGTGCAGGACTGTACAAGGACTCCATGTTATGACTATGATGTGACTGTCTCTTTGTGACACGTATGTCTTTCGATGTGTGACGTAGGGCTGGGCGATAAAACGATAACGATATATATCGCGATAGACATGTGTTCGATATCAATAGAGAATGGGGTCGATAGAATGTTCGATAGTTTAACTTAACTCCGTCAGGAAAAACAGGAAGAAAACACCGGAAGTAAAGCCGACTCATAAGCGCATGGCATTGTGGGGGATGTAGGCGGACGCTTCTCGACCAATAACAGCCAAGCAGGAACCGCAAAACTTTGTGGGAAATGCAAAAACAACAACAACCGCAGCATGTGTGGCGTCCATGGATCTATAGCTCGTGTTTCAATGCCGTGTCAATGGTTATGCACGTACGTGCGCGGAATAACATGTGCGGCGGCAGAGGCAGTGGACAGACCCGATGTATTCGGCAAAAGCAAGAGATTAACTTTTTCCTCGGGAAGCATGTGCGGCACAGAGAGCCACACGGAGCGGCCACGGGGACACAAGACCCTCAAACAGCTAAACCAGGAGCTAAACCAGGAATAAAAAACCAGGATTAAACCAGGACTAACAACGAGGGACACAGTGTGAACATATTTCTCCAGCCTCATTCCCCCGTGACTGTAAACAAGGC